CTCTCTCTCTCTCTCTCTCTCTCTCTCTCTCTCTCTCTCTCTCTCTCTCTCACACACACACACCTGGCCCTGTCAGTTCAAGCCGGCAGCCTCCTGGCGGGCTCAGTAACAGCAAATCAGTGGGTCACTTACACTCCGTCCTGTAAAGCTTGACAAGGTTATTGATCTTAGTTTAGTGAACAGAGAACAGCTGGCCTGATGCATGATGCTGTCTCTCTGATCATGAATGATCACAGAGCCGTAGTTAGCTCCTACAGTACAGACAGCCCACCACTTTCTGTGTCTCAAAGGTTGAAGCAAACAGATATTTCAATTTTGATTAGATGTGAGGATGGGACTTTTATCTTTCTTCACATTCAGACGACAGATCCGGTTGCAATAGATGTGTCTGTGTCCAACATATCTTGATGTTTGTCCAGGTAAAGAAAATATTATTTGTTCAAAAATAAAGCCATGCATGTTTGCACAAGATTCAAGTCTAAAGTAATGAAATACCTGAGTTTGTGCAAGTCTGAAGTACGTAACAGTTGTGTAGCTAGGACGGAGGATGTTCAGTCTCAGACCTCCACCTCTCCCGCAGAGATACAAACTCATATTCTGCCCCTGTACAGAGCAACCTGAGGATGAGAGCCTGTGACACTACTGGTCCCCATAAAAGAAAAGTTACCATCATCATTTTGTCTGAGAGAGGGCAGAGAGTTATGGCTGTTTTCCTTGTTGAGAGGGTGGGCTTTGGCCTTCACTTATTTACTACAAGAGTCTGCTATAATGACAGCTCCTCTCTGTGGTGAAAAGAGATGTTTCATCTTTTCACAGAGGATATTTAATGATATGCCCTGACAGAGCCCTAGATGACCTCTGGATTGTGTGATACTGATCAACTGTTGTGTTTTTATGTGTGTTACACTCAATTCATTGTGGTGGCCTTTGACCGCAGTATTCTTATCAATTTTTTTACAATATCAGATGGATATTAGTCACAATAATCTGGCAGAATTGACTTCTGAACCTGTGCTGTCCTCTTTCCCATTTTTTCTTACTATTCGGATCTCCATCACTCTCATTTTGCAGCTCCTCTGTCTCCTTTGTTTTAATTCCCATTACTGCATATCCTCTGTCTCTGTTGTCTCTCTCCTTCTTCTCTCTCGTAATACACTCTAGGGAAATACTGTATGCTGACACTTCTTCAGTGATTACGTTTCTTTCTTTAAGTTTTTCATCAATCACAATGCTTTCTTTGTCAAAGGTGGGTGGAGAAAATTGTATTTTTATCACCTAAAATCACATTTCCACTTGGCAATCATTTTCCAATATATGGGAGAAAGTAGCGGCCTATTCTTGAGACACTAAAAACGAATGGATCTGGTTTTTCTTTCCACCACAGTTGAGACAGAAGGATCTCAAGATAGGGGGGAGTTTTGGGGGGCATTACTTCTCTAGCCACAGGGATCCATTGAACCTATTCAAATTAGCCTTAACATTTACCAAAAGATGATTTTCTCTTGGCAGGATTTTGCACTTTTCAGGTCCCCTGTTTGAACAAAATCCTCCTACAGTTTTCATCAGATCAACTCAAATGTCATCATAAGACCTTGAGGATCAAAAGTTTCAAAAGCTTTAGGCTACATCCAACTCCCTTGCGGTGGCGTGGCAACAAAAAAGCGTCTTTCACCCTTGAAACAGAAGTCGCTGTAACTCCACCATATTCGTATAAGCTCCAAATTTCTCATGGAGGACCAGAGTCCAGGCCTGAAGACAGCTGCATGTCAATATTCACTCATCGACCAAGCGCCACCTACTGGCAGCAGGAAGTAAGATGTTTTGGTATTTAATGTCCTTCTCCTTTCATATTATTCATAACTCTCCGAATTTGGTATGATAAGCTTTCAGAGGTTAGGGAAGCTCCATAGAAAAAGTTGTGTGTCTGTGTTGCGTGGCTTTGGCTGTGGCGGCGTGAGAAAGAGATGGAAAATGATGATACTTCGCCATGAACAATCAAACTGCATTAGCTCATGGTCAAAACTTTGGATGTGCAAGGGCCCGATCATCACTGCTTGCAGCTTTAATTAACACTTAGTGAGGATGTAAGTGATCAACAAAAGTATTTTTCAGGCCAACGGCAAGGCTAAAGCAAACATTTCCTAATCTGTTGTTGGCAATAATATCAGCTTTTTTTGCGGCTCCGACTTTGGTCAGATGAATTTCATACCTAGTTTGTTATAATCTACTAAAGTTAGGCACCATACAAGATGAATAAATCCCAGATTTTGTTATCTACACTGACTTCTAGACTGTATGCTCAAAGGAAGTCTCATGGCTAAACCAATCTTTGTTTCATCATTATCTTAGCATTTTCATTGTGAGCTTGTAAGAATTTTATCATCATCAGTTTCTAAGTAAAGCCTCCTTGAACTACTAGCATGGCCGTAGACTTTCGACCAGTGTTAATTTCGTAGACGAAAACTATGACGAAAAATGTTCGTCAACGACCTTTTTTACATGACTAAGACGAGACGATGACGAGCTAAAAATAGATTCTTGATAACGAAAACTTTGACGAAATGTATATTTAGTTTTCGTTGACGAGATGAGACGGGACTAAGGTGTTAATTGTGGACTGTCGGACATTCAAAATGCAGGGTATTTCCCCCCAATTGTCCGTCTTGTCTGTCAAAATGCATCTTACGTTTCTAACTTGCAATATCATTATTTCCGCTCTCTTCACTCCAGAAGAGCGATCTGTGTGCGGGGGGCGGGGCCTCACTCTCTCTCTGTGTGCGGGGGGCGGGGCCTAACAGACACGCTGCAGCGGCACACAGAGATCTGCCGGGGACGGAGCGTTCAGAAGTATAGAGACACTCTACAAGGCTCGATGTGGACAAAGCTTGTTTGCCATTAGTGTTTTCGTGTTAGCGCGTTGACACGAGTAGAGTAGTCTGTCCAAACAGCCGGCCAAAAGGCGCCATATTCAGTCGGAGAAATGCACAATTTTCGACTTCCTTAACTCGTAGCTCTGTTGCCCCAATTACGAGTAACGTTATCACATCAGGTGTGCAGAGGTGGGAGAAGTAGGCTACTCAGATCTTGTAGTTAAGTAAACAAATACCATAGTGTAGGAAGAGTTCCTCAAGTAAAAGTATGATCATCAAAATATAGTTAAAGTAGCGACAGTAGTCATTGTGCAGATTGGTCCATTTCAGAATAATATATATGATATGTTTTATAATGATTGATCATTAAAGTGTTCTCAAAGCTGGTAAAGGTGCAGCTAGTTTGAAGTACTTTGTATACTGCAGGGTAGCTTGTGAATTTACTCCAGGTGGAACTAAAGTCTGATTTAACACTTGATTATATTTCACATCATTCATCCAAATCTGTAAAGTAACTAAAGGTATTAAATACATGTAGTGGAGTAAAAGTACACCATGTACCTCTGAACTGTAGAGGAGTAGAAGTACACAGTAGCAAAACATTTAAATACTCCAGTAAAGTACAAGTACCTGAACATTTTACTCAAGTACAGTACAATATTTTAACATAATTATATATATTTCATTTATTTCACATTTAGATAAAGCAATTAATTCGGTTAACAATTTGTTAGTTTTTCCCTTTAAAAAATAACAAAAAGTAAATACAAGAATACCGTTAAAGTACCGGATCGATAAGCAGTATCGATAAGACTAGTAGTACCGTAGAAAACCTTAACGATACCCATCAAAGAGAGTGAAATGTTGCTTTACGAATTTCAACACTTGATGCTGTCACATTGATTCCGATTTCAGAAACCTGTATTTGCCTAACTGAATTGGTTTAAAGAGAGAAAACATTTTGACTAAAAGTTGACTAAAATTTCCGTCTAAAGACTAAGACTAAGACTAAATCAAAAACAGCTGCCAAAATTAACACTGCTTTCGACTGCTGTGACACTATCAACTTCTTCCAACAATTCTCGCTACATTACCGGAGTACCATCTGTAAACCTTGTGATATCACAAGGGTGTCTGTGAGTCTAAAGGTGTGTACTAACCTGCATCAAGACCTCTGTGAGGTGTTGTATATTGTGGGAGAGATAAGGGTGGGAGTGTGTGTTTGTTTGCTGCTCTTTACTGCATGTGACTGTGAGAATAAACATTTGTATATCAAGAACCTTTTAAGCATCTGAATTAGAAACACACACACACACACACACACACACACACACACACACACACACACACACACACACACACACACACACACACACACACACTGTGCCTTCTAACAGAGCAGCAATAGGCGCTTTCATACCAAGTACTTTTCCAAGGAATAGTTCCCGGAACTTTTCCCCGGAACATTTTTTTTTCCTGGAACTATCTAGTAAATCGTGTTCACACCGGAATAAGTCCCTGAGGGAGCAGCTGACGTCACTTATTCTTCTTCTTCTGCTTTGGGTTTACTGGCAGACCGCAAACAACTTCACGGCGTATACTGCCACCCGAAGTCCCCCGGCCGGAAGTCCCCCGGAGTTGAAGACTCCCAGCAGCTTCTACTGAAGCCTTCCGAGTAAATCGCCAGAAGCGCCGACACCTCCTCATCACTCCACCACTCCCATGTTTTCTTTTGTGTTGCCATAAGTTAGTATATCTCTGTTGGTGCGCTGGGCTAATGCTAATGCTAATAATGCTAATGCGAGCAAATAAAATGGCGGCTTCACGAAAACCTTTCAGAGTTTTACGGGGCGTGGTTTGCAATAGCAGGGACTAAAACGGGGTGAAAAGGTTCGCAAAAAAAAGTTCTAGTTCCAGATATTTTTGGTGTTAACGCAAAATCTCAGGAACTATCGGAACTATTCCTGGGAAAAGTACTCTCACAAAACAATAGTCTCTGTGGTTGTCTTGGAAATGGCAGATGTGACAGCTGGAGGGAAGCCTTGCAGGGAGTATTATGGGGTGTTTGGAGTTGTTGTGTGACAAGTAGAATGTTACCTAATCTTGCCTGATTACTGTTTGTTCCCACAGACCTATCTCCTGGGAATCATTATCTCCATATGTGGGAACATCCTCATCAGCATTTCACTCAACATACAGGTAAGAAGCACCAGAACCCAGCTGCACTTAGAGTCTTTGAAGAGTTACTTATAGACTGCCTTTTTCCTGACGGTATGCTTTATTTCAAGTTGATTCTCTGTGTTCATTATAAGAAAGTGACTGTGTGTTCTGCTGACATGCTACAGCAGCCATTTTGCAGCTTAAGAATTGTAATGAATTAAAGTGAATATTTAAAATCTACTTAATATTCATATTGTGAAAAGCAATACAATTGTCCACTTAAAGAACCAAACTGCAATGTTTTTGTGCTTTCATAAGGATCAGGGAGCATAATAGGTATTATAATAAAGTACAGACCTACTTTACTATAATGCTTATGATGCTCTCTGATCTTTTGAAGGCAATATTTCAAGTGACTTGAACGCCATTGTTTTTAATCCGCTTCCCAATAAATATTCATGAGAAAAAACTCATTTTGAGAAAACGACCTTTAAAGATTGCTGTGAGGCGCTACCTAAACCCTCCTGTTCTTTGGATGACAGCTTGCGCATCGACGCACTCCGTGAAGGTAACATTGCTTCGTGCAAGTGACAATTGTTGTCATCTTCTCTGTGAACGTTTTTATCGCTGTTCTTTTGCCATTTTGAGATTTACATGTCAAGTCATTTAGAAAGTTAATTTGATTATTTTAATACAAACATACATAGATGATTGCCTCTGCCAGACTGAGAAGCTTTAAAGGCTGAGCTATAAATACATTAACTGATAAATGATCATCGTTTTTGTTTTCCTAGCGTGATTCAGATAATAGCAAAATGTCCTTTTTCTTTTAAATTTCATCCTGTTTATCATCAGGTCTTATATATTTGACTGGCCCTAAACAGAACAAAACGTGGACCTCAAGTAATTTGTAGTATTTCAGGAAGTTGTTTGTGATCATAATATGGAAAATCTGCCATTACTGTAATTTTTAGGTAAAAATTCTACATTAATATTATATATCAGGACTGTCCTGACTAAATAAAAATGTGATAACTCGACATTATCGATTTGTTGATTTAATTGACAATCTTTACAACTACATTTTTATAATCACATGAGGTCCCTAGGATATGATGCTGCTGGCTCCTGCTCCCTCTCTCTCTGACAGAAATATGCCCATGTGCGTCAGTCCCAGCGTGGATCGAAGCCCTACTACACCTCTGGGACGTGGTGGTGCGGCGTGGCTCTCATGGGTTTCGGGGAACTGGGGAACTTTGCTGCCTACGGCTTTGCCCCAGCATCACTCATAGCCCCGCTAGGCTGTGTGTCTGTCATAGGTAGGTGCAACCTTTCCCCCCTCATGCATTTTCCACCAAGGCACGACGACAGGTACAGGAAGTGATGCCATGTGAAGTCTGCTCTTCTTCTGATCTTTCCTAAGCAGTCCAGAGCGTACATTATGTGCTGAAAGTCTGAAAGGTTTTCCTCTATATGTGGCATTTCATAAAATTCACTCAAGTACATTATGAAACAGATTTAAAGTTATAGTAACATTAACGTTTAGAAGATTTCCATACATTTAAGTGAACGTTCTGGCTCATTCTGGAATAGCCTCCCAACTGAGATACGGGATACTCTCAATAGTTTTAAAGGTCAACTCAAAGAATGGTTGAGAAACAAACAGACGTGCAATCACCGCTAAATGCACTTTAATACAGGGGTATCTTCTCTTGCACTTTATGTATCTCTTGTATCTTCTCTTGCACTTTATATGTTATTGCTGCCATATTGTATTGCCATGTGATAAATACTTGTGTATGCTGCTCTTGCTCTTTTGCACTTTTTGCATAATGTATTTGTTTTTGCTATGTTTATAAATGTCATTTTCTTATGTGATGGAAAGTAGCTAAATCTGGCATATTTACACCTGAAATATTTATTGTTTTAAGTGTTCATTAATGTGCAATGTCCCTAGAAAAAAACAAAAAACGTTTATATGTTCACTCCAAAAAAAAACGAAAAGAGGCATTGTTGCGCTTCCAAGCTATTAGTTTTACTTATAACTATTACTATATATACACCTGATTGACAGATAGACGTCTCAACAATATTCTTAGTGTTGCTGAAAAGTTTTTCTCAATACAATTTTGTAATAATCTTTTCTATATAGATATATATATATTTTGGCACTCCATTCCATACAAGTACCATACCAATATGGATTTATTTACGATTCACTTGATAATATGGGAGGGTAGATCCTTAAAAGATATCTTTCAACAATTAGGACAGCGTCGGCTCTAGAACAAATCGAATGGGGGGGCAATCATTTACCACGGGGGGGCACACACTGCCGTCAACAACCAACACACAAACACCAACGCAACTTCAATTTCAAAACATGGTGTAAAGTCTCTTGTTTTCACACACATTGCAGGGGTGTAGTGCTATTTTATAGCGCACCTATGACTTGTGCATACATTTACGGTTGTGGCACGACCACCAAAAACAGAAACATATGGACATAGGCCACCATATAAAAAGTGTGCAAATGTATTTAGTATCTAATCCATATGAACATGTTTTAGGTGGGGGGTGAACCTAACCTCCCCCGGGAAGATTTTTTTTTTAAATATTGAAGTTAAATGCATCAATCTGGTGCACTTTGAGAGCAACATGAAGAGATCTATGGATACATCTCTCAACATCCATATGAAACAGAACTGTAAACAGATTTACTTTTTCTTTATGCATGTTTTACAAATCACTCCCCTTTTAAACTCTATTCTTGTTTTACTGTCATATAGTATTTCATACCTGTTTTTCATTTATTCTCTTATTTTTTAATAACTATAATGATCATATAAAGGTGTTCCTCGGAAATACTTGTTTACATAAATGGTAACCAAACCGTTTGAGACCTACTGAGATAACTTAAGTTAACTATCTAAACACTGACAGAGTCCTGACCTTACCTCACTGAGCTGTATTTATCTGAGCCTCTCAGTCAGAAACAGCTCTTTATATCCGTTGGCATAGCTAGCTAACCAGAGGCTAACAACAACAAAATGTGCTCGTGCCACACATACACAGAGCCGAGCTTGAATGAAACACAGAGACCCAGAAGTACTTGTACTGTACCGTATCATATTATTTTCGATGGCTTTACTGTATAATCAGTATAACAGATGAACAGATTGCCACTGGGCTTACATCTAAACAGTCAGCCACGTAATGACAACAAAACAAAGGTCGGGGGTCATTGGTCAAGCAACACACCAATCAACGAGCAGCAGTGAGCACACCTCAGGCTGTGTTTTCTATTTGTATTCTTTATTTCTGATTTATTTCACACAAAAAACATTTAGTGGAAACGTTTTCACTTATAATATGATTTTTTTTTTTTAAACCGGCAAAGTGGCAGGGCTTGCCTGCCCTGCGTTGGGGGGGCACAGTGACTCGTTTTGGGGGGGATGGCCCGCGAATGACCCCCATGACGCCGACCCTGAATTAGGAAGAATCTAATAGAAGAGGTCCCGCTTTTAAGCTATTTTATATCCACTAAATATCTACCAATGATGTTTTTACATATATATATATATATATATATATATATATATATATATATATATATATATATATATCACTTTAAGTGTCCTGGTTGTAATATTGATTACTTAGGCAACTAAATATTAACTCTGCCTAATATCCAGGTCAAGTATAGATAATTGAATTTAGTTCAGAGTAGGTGCATGCTTATTTTTTCCATTCCTAGTTATTTTGAGCACTAGACACAGAAGATATGTGATATATTCTTTCATTCCTCTGAAGTGTTATGTGTGATTTAGAAAGTGTATTTACTTCAGAATAATAATCAATAATCAGTTTGAACGAGAGCTGTCCTAAATTAAGCCGGATCATTAGCCAATCATAACAGCTAGCTAATTAATCTAATTATAGATAGCTTGTTGGCTTTAATTGAGACATTTCAATTGGAAAATTATTTTAAAAACCATATTACACCATTTATATTCAGGAATTTCACAAAGTTGAAATGGATGATGGATTTCTGCAAGCTTGTAGAACATACATGTATTAAAAACTTGTTTTGATATTTTGAATAAGCACAACATTTCAACTTTTGCAGCTTTCATCCATTCATGTTAGATAAAAAAAAAACACACACACACACACACACACACAAACACACACACACACACACACACACACACACACACACACACACACACACACACACACACACAGGCAGCGACAGAACCGTGTACCCCTGAGGTTACTGCATTTCTCATGTTATCAAGCCATGTGAATCTCACTTTGTACCGGGTTGCTATGGTTACTTGTTGGATCCAGCTGGTCCCAGAGGTGAAGAAAGAGTCCCAACATAAAATATATTAAAATCTCTCCTTTTTGTAAACATATCCACAGGAGTCTTTATAAAACTTCCAGTTTGATATTTATGTCAAGCACATAGTTGCACATGTTTCTCTGAAACACACTCTTTCAGCATCGTTGTGTTTTTTGTTACAGTTTTTGCTGCCAGACCGGTGAAGCCATTTTGGCGAGCTTGTTTTGCCGCGCACAGAGAAAAGTGTCATGTATCTTACGTCATGTGATCAGCTCTCCTGATCGGCCTTTATAGAGAGCAGGCCGATAACGATCGGAGCATCCCATATATAACTGTGTGTAAATCTGTGCTTGCCTGTATGTGTAACTGCACATGCTTTGTTGTATACATACAATATAAGAAATTACAGATATAATTTCAACCTGCATGCTGGACAGTAAATGCTATTTACTAACATTCAATAAATGCATACATGTGTGCAGCCAGTTTGTTTTTATTCACAATTCAAATTATTTTCAGATTTATAATGAAATAAATATTATATGTATTTATTCTATTATCTATTTGTTCTAAAAAGCTAATATTGAAACTAACTTAACATGTTTTTACTTTAACATTTATTTTCTTTCACTATTGTAATTTTGTTTAGGCAAAACATGTATTGCATGCCAATAAAGTATATAGAACTAAATTGACTTGAAACATTGTTTGATAATAATCATCTTTTTCACAGTTAAACTGACAGTAATATATTTTCACTTCCCAGCGAGCGCTGTGTTATCCGTGGTTTTCCTGAAGGAGACAGTGCGTGCCTCTGACATTGTTGGTAAGCAAACACTTCCTCTCAACTTCACAAGTCTTCATCTAACAGATCAGGCATATCACAGGGACATTATCTCAGTCGCAAGATAGTCTTGTGACAGAAGAAAACATATTTCAGTTTACAACACTACTGACCTCATTTTACTTCCTTTCAGACTGAGATCAAATCAAACATTTGATCCTGCAGTTTAAACGTCTAATTGCTGTTTGTTTCTGCCAGTGAAATAAAACGATCAATCCTATTATCTTATTTTATGGAAAACTGTTTGTCATTTGTCAAATTGTAGAGACTGCTGCTAAATGATCATGGCCTTTATGTTAGTCACAATGACACTCATGCTACATTGAACAACTGTTTGTTGCCTTAATAAATCACACTTTTAGGGTATTAGCAGTTGAAAGCAAGAGTGAAATAGTGAGGGCTTTTTTGAAGGATGTCAAACCAGGCTGTATTTATTACCGAAATAAATTAGTTTAGTGTGGATGTTAATGTATTGCATAATTGTCAATTCATTAAAGGGAACATTTGCAAAAACAGAAAATCACAATGAGTGTGCATGTTGAAATATTTTGCATGGGAATCAGAAATGTAAGATTTGCAGTGACAGTTTAAATACATGTATTCCCCATAATTATGTTCAGCCATATTTGCAGTTTCTTTTCCAGGATTTTAGAGTTGTACCCTTTAAAACAGGCAATTAAAATTATGTACAGGTAGTTCTGCAATCACATTAAACAAAACCATGCACACTGATCTCGCCGTTCTCTGTTCTCCTTCTTCTCTAGGTGGCACCCTGGCAATAACAGGAACGTATGTCCTGGTGAACTTTGCCCCCCACACTACCATACACATTACAGCCCATCTGGTACAGTACTACGTGATGAACTGGCACTTCCTGCTTTACCTTGTACGTAACCCCTTTAAATATCCCATATAGTTAAAAGTAAGAATGCCATCTATTTTTCTATTTGCTGTAATTTCTCTGGAAGAATTGAAACGCTCAGGGGAGATACACAGAGCCCGTATTCAGAAACTGAGATTTAATGAGCTTTCTGGATCTCAAAAGGTTGTGATGTTGCAACTATAAATATATAAGTAGAAAGTGTCGCTACAGTCCCTGCCCAGCTGCAATGATGGTGCAGAAATGCAAAGAGTGCAGATGTGGGAGGCCTGGAAACACACATCAACCAGAACAGACTTTGAGCTTCTTTTTGTATGTCTACATGGGATGCTCTTAAGTGTGTACTTGTACAGCAGCTTTTGTCCTGCTGTTAGTTAGCTCACCCAACCTTTGACCTCCCTTTAGAAAGGAGCACTCCTTTTAAGGCTCAATTCAAGTATAGTATAAATCCTCTGTCAAAATGTTGAAGTATACAGTTGATGGATAAGAGAAAGGTGAAAATAATCGTTGATTAACAAAGATTTCTCTTGTCCTTGTGTTGTGTCTACATGGACTTTGTAAAGTGGAGTCTGTTCAAACTAAAACAGATCGGCCCTACCTCATGGTCTGCGATGCATTGATACCCATATGCTCTGCTTCTCCAATTTAGCCTCAGGCAGGGATGGCATAAACATACCTGTTGCCATAGTGATGGGTCTTGTATACTGTAGATCTGTGTTTTTCTCAAAACTCATCACAAAAGTGTAAATGTTACATTCAAGAGGACTTCCGGTTATGGCGCGGTGTTGATCAGACATAGTTTAGTCGTCGCTCTGCCCTAATATTGTAAATTAACTCTTTGGAACGCGGGAGGTAAAAGGAAAACGCAATTTACACATCATAACGGTGTTACTAATGCCTCCACGCAAGAAAACAACTAAAAAGGACAACGTTTTGGAAACTTTATCCGAAAAAGATTGGCCACCGCTGTCTCAAACTGGCCTTACTCCCGACATGGAACACGAGGAGGGAGAAGACCTGTCGCAGGATAAATCCTCAGGTGAAATTCTGAGTGCAATTAACAATTTAAAGAAAGACCTGAAGGAAGACTTTGCATCAAAATGTAATGCGGTAATACACTTAATACAATCTATCGAAGGCCAACTAAAACAGTACTCTGGCCGATTAACGGAGGCTGAGGAGCGGCTTGGAGCGGTGGAAGACGATGTCTCAGCACTTAATAAAACAACGAAACAGCTGAGACAACAGGTGGAAAGTTTGGAGGCGAAAATGGAAGATCTGGAAAATCGTAGCCGCAGATCTAATGTGCGACTGATAGGCTTGCCCGAAAACGCTGAAGGGAAGGATGCATGCACCTATCTGGAAAAATGGATCCCTGAAATTCTGGGTGCTGGATCGTTTTCAGCACCGCTCGTTATTGAAAGGGCGCACAGAGTTCCATCTGGCTGACCGAAGCCAAACGCACCGCCTCGAGCAGTTCGGATTAAGTTCTTAAACTACAAGGACAAAACCAAAGTGATGTCGGCTGCATGCATATGAAAGGGTAAAATCCACTTTGACAAACATCATATAATGTTTTTCCATGACGTCGCCAAGGAGACGGATAAAAAGCGCAGAGCCTACGATGGAGTTAAAACGAGGTGCAGAGACATGGGTCTGCGGTATGGAATACAATATCCATCCTCTTTCCGACACATGACGGCAACTCTCGCCTCTTCACTTCTCCTACGGATGTACACACGTTCCTGAACAAGATCCAGGAGAAGACCAGAGATTGAACAGTTCTGTGAAAGCACCTGGTGAGATTACTATAAAGAATAGCCTACAGTATATTACTTGTTACTGTAAAAGGACAAAATCTGTCAAAGTAAAGTTTTGTCTTTGCAGTATTTAGCAGTAATAATATTTATGTAGGATGTGTAGGCTATACACTGGTATATCTGTGTTACATTTATTATATTACACTGTTGAAGAAGTGTGTTTTCTGTTATTGATACTGTTAAGAATAAGTGCTGTCCTTGAACGGTTAAATCTAAGTTATGCCTTTACACTCCCAAAATCACATTTTATATAATTTTCTTTAGATATAAAACAAATTATTAATCCACATTTTAGATCCTAACAATGGCAGCTAAACTTGGTGTTTACTTATGAATACATTTTATTTTAAGAGCTTTAAACTTGCTGCCTAGTGAATGAAAGCATCGACAAGTGGAAGTGGAAATATTTTATAGAAGTTTTTAGTTTTATTCATTCCCTTTGTTAACATTTCTATAATTTGTATGGAAATTAGGGCGGAGCGACACTTTAGGGACTTGTTTGTGGACATGTATTCTGTTCCTCAGTTTTGTGGACCAGAGCTAAGAGGTTGAATTCCAAAATACTGTTTTTACAGGAATCGCTTTTGCCACGAGGTGATTCATAAGATCCAGAAAAGATGGAATGGTCAGGTCATCGCAGCCTCCTATTCTTCCCATGCTAGAGGGGTGTTAACTCTTATACATACTGTACATCCATTCCTTTTAACATAATTAGGACTATCTCTGACCCAAGAGGCAGATATTCCATTATTCACGGCACCCTTCTTACAGAAACCTTGAATATTGTCAATATATACGGCCCTAATGAGGATGTTCCCTTATTCTTCAAAAAGATTTTTCTAACTTTATCCTCCCTCCCAGGCCATTATATTATAGGGGGAGACTTCAATTGTGCACTAGAGCCCAGTATAGATAGATCAAGGGGGACAGACTTGTCTCACACCCAAACAAGGAAACCCCTTAAACAACTGATCCAGGATTTTAATTTGTGTGAAGTTTGGAGGTCATTTAAACCAGTTTCCAGAGAATATTCTTGTTTTTCACCAAACACACTCATGTATAGACTATTTCCTGGTTTCTATGGGCCTTATGTCAAGGATTACAAAATGTTGGTAAGACAGTAGGGTCCTCTCTGACCATTCACCAATTTCATTACTGTTTAATAACTCTGATCTTGTTATGAATCCACCTAGGTGGCGTTTTCAATCCAGATGGCTACAGGATAGAACATTTGTTGAATTTGTAGGAATACATATTGACCTCTATTTTAGCATGAATACTAATGAAACCTCTCCAACTATACGCTGGGAAGCGTTTAAGGCATACATTAGGGGCATGATTGTTAGCTATTCTAGCTCGCAGAACAAAGCCTTTAAATCCAAATTAAATTCACTGGAGGGTTGTATTAAAGATTTGGAGGATAGGGTTGTTACCCAAGATTCCCCAGAACTACAAGCAGAACTTTTGGTCCTAAGGACTCAATATAGTGAATTATTGAGTAACCAGGCAGCTGCTAGCTTACTAAGATTAAAACAAAGCTACTACGATCAGGGAGAAAAGGCGGGCAAAATATTGGCTTGGCGTATTAAAAAATTGCAATCTGAAAGGGCTATCAACAGCATTAAAACAAATGGTAAATTAACAAATGACCCTGCAGAAATAAATAATGCTTTTAAAATGTTTTATGAAAAACTTAATACATCCGAACATAAAGGTTCAGGCCAAAAGGAACATTTTCTAAGTTCATTAGATTTCCCCACTATTTCAACTGATTCAATTTGCAGGCTACAAAATAAATATGCATAAATCCTCAATACTTTATCTAAATGAACAAGAGAGGCAGCAACCTAGAATACAAACTCCCTTTTCAGCTCATAGGGAAGGATTCACCTATTTAGGAATAAAAATCACACCTGAAATGAATGATCTGGTTCCAGCCAACTATAACCCTGTTGTAGAATCTGTGGTAGAATCGCTTAACAGATGGACTTTAATGCCAATCTCCTTAATCGGTCGTGTTAACATCTTAAAAATGAATACATTACCCAAATTGCTCTATTTCTTTCAATCAATCCCCTTACCCCCACCCGAGTCATTTTTTCAAAAATGTAAGAAAATATTTACCAACTTTATCTGGAATAATAGACGCTCTAGGCTCCGTTTTACCCTACTTTACTTTCCTTATGACAGAGGGGGTCTAAAACTGCCCAACCTACGCTGGTACTATTGGGCAGCACAACTGAGAGCAGCCATGTGCTACTTCACCCCAGAGGATGCTCCAGCGTGGGTCAAGATTGAAGCATGCTCAGCTCAAGGGTTACCGCGCTTAGTAGCTATCTTTATTCTTCTGAGCCAAAGAAGGGTAAAAACACAAAAAAATACTTTCTAAGAAATACCATACACATCTGGCATGAGGTCCACAAATATATAGGGAGGCCTGTGGCGTAGTGGACTAGTGCGTTAGTGTTCGGATCAGGGGAGCGCAGGTTCAAACCCCACTGCAGTCAGCATGTCGTTGTGTCCCTGGGCAAGACACTTCACCCCAAACTGCTTGAGTATGTAAGTCGCTTTGGATAAAAGCGTCTAACAAGTAACATGTAATGTAATTAGGGCTGTCAAGTTAATGCGTTAATAACGCATTAAGGCAAAAAAAAATTAACGCCACTAATTATATTAGCGCATGTGTATTTTTTGTCCTCGGCCGCCCTGCCCCGTAGTTTCAGAGCGCATCGAGTTTAAAATACCATCTACAAGCTGATGCTGACAGCCCCGCTCCTGCCGCCCGCTTGTGGCAGACCACACTTCCACGCTCACCGGCCGGCAGGCCCGGACTGGCCATCGGGAGGACTGGGAGGGTGTGTGTATGTGTGGGGCGAGCGAGGCACACCTTACGTGTTGTTGTTGTTGTTAGCATCTGGTGCTAGCTAGCTGCGCTAACGGATATAAGGAGCTGTTTCAATGAAAACAGAGGAGCGACATTTCGCCGACAACTGCGCCGAGCACTTGACTTTATGCAGGTAGCCAGACAGTGGGACATTGTACGAAAAGTCAGCACACTCAGCACGGATAGTGCGCGCAACATGATTGCAGCGTCCAGGCAGCTCCCGTTCGAGCATATATGCCTTGAGCTGCACATAGCTCCAACGATCCATCACAGTGTCTCCACATTCACACACACACACACAC